CCCTGCGGGGCCCCCTATTCATGATACAAGCCAGGTTGTCACCTTGGCCACCTGGGCACGCTGCTGGCTCATGTTCAGCTGTCTGTTGACCAATAGCCGCAGTCCTTTTCCACTGGGCAGCTTTCCAACCCTAGCCTGTAGCACTGGATGGGGTTATTGTGACCCAAGTGCAGGACCAGACCTTAAGTCTTGTTGAACTTCATACAATTGACCTTGGCCCATTGATGTAGCCTGTCCAGGTTCCTTTGTAGAGCCTTCCTACCCTCAAGCAGATCAACACTCCCACACAGTTTGGTGTCATCTGCAAACTTACTGAGGATGCACTTGATCCCCTTGTCCAGATCGTTGATAAAGATGTTAAACAGAACTGGCCCCAGTACTGAGCCCTGGGGAACACCACTTGTGACTGGTTGCCAACTGGATTTGACTCCATTCATGTCTCAGTGTCAACTCTTCTCTCTCTTACCAGTGAGTTACCAAACTGGTAGGTGGAGCCACAAGACAAGTGTGAGAGGGGAAAAAATTCCTTAAAGAGAGTTCCTTAAAGGATTAGTAAGAAATCACAAGTGAAATGATCCGTGTGTTGTGAAAGATTGACTGGTGTAGAAAGGGCAGTTGTTAGGTCATGTTGTTCCTTGGCCAGGAAGTGACAAAAGCAGACCTATGGAAAGAGGAGATGGGATCAAACTACAGAGAGGAAACAAAAGAATAGGAGGAGGGGAAAAAGACAAAATTCAGAAAACTGAAATATGGAATGACATACAAATGATAACAAAAAACTCCTTCCTCCTGTTTTGGGGAAATTGGAGGACTGGCCTAGAAAATGGTAAATATAGTGCATGTTTTTGAAAGGCAGAAAAGGATGGAGCTGGTGATATTTAGACCTCTGTCTTCTAGAAGAATTTTGAAACAAGTAGCCAAACAATTTTTACCTCCTAGTTAAGAACAAATTGTGCCAAGCTGTTCTAGCTTTGTTCCCTACATAGTTAATGGACATTACACAGAAGAAAAGCAACAGATGTCTTGGATCCTAATGTGGTTTTTTTTAGCATGCATTAGGACGTGGTCTCTCATAACTTGCTTTTAGAATTAAGAAATGCTGTGGGCAGAAAAGTTTCAGAGAAGTTACAAGTGTGGAAGGAGGTAGGAGGAGGCAGATGTGTGCTTTTTGTCTGGTCTAGTCTTTTAGCTGGTGATATAATGAAATGAAGATCAGGCTAAAGTAATGCATAATGCAGCCCTGGAAGGGCTTGTAATTTTTTGGAAGATACTGTCAAGGTTTGGGATATTTTGAGTGAACTGTTGAAGTGACTTGGGGTGAGGAAAGGTGGAATGTAACGTGTCCATAAGAAACCTGAGCAGCAGTGGTCAGTTCTCCAGAGAACAGCTCACCATTCTGAGGAGGTTTGACGCACACCTACGAACAATGTAGAAGACCTACTAAAAAGACGAGAAGTACTTGCCCACTGTGCTATTGAATAGAGAACAAGGACAAGCTGGCTGTGGCAAGCTAGACGTTAAGCTTAGCTTGCTAGTAGTAACTTAAATTTTCCCTAGGGTAGCTGTGAAATTTCCATGTGGGAGAATGTCAGCAGTGCGCGTGTTAACATGGGCAGATGCACAGCAGGAGTAAGGGATTTAGGTGGTGCTGCACAGGAGAAAGCAAAATGGTCTTGATTGCTTACACTTTGTTCTGAATCTCTACCAGCAAAGGCTTTTTTTGGAGTTCCAATACAAAAATAAGTTTGAGTCTTGTATCACTGAACTGTTTCAATGGAGCTGTGTTTAACATGCAAATATTTTGTTTTGTTTAAACGCAAGTTTGACTTCTCTGCCAATTACCACAGGACAGGTCGCCTGGAAGCGTGCGGTTCGTGGCGTTCGAGAAATGTGTGATGTCTGCGACACCACCATCTTCAACCTCCACTGGGTCTGCTCTAAGTGCGGCTTTGGCGTGTGTGTGGATTGTTACAGGATGAAGAAAAAGAGCTTACATAAAGGTGAGAACACGTGTTGCTACTTTAAACAAAGCAGGGAGAGAGGAAAGAAAACCTGTTTGTTGAACTTAGAAGTAGATAACAGCCTTAATCAACAAGATAAGCCTTCCCAACAAAAAAACCATGTTGTGGATCTGTGGTTTGGTTTATCAGTAGTAGTTAAAATGTGTAGCTTTCCAGAGGAGGATGAAAGATGCACTAGTAAAACAATTTAATGGTTTTGTTTTACAGATGATGACTCAGATACTTTCTCCTGGTTTAAATGTGTGAAGGGGCAGGCACATGAACCTGAGAATCTAATGCCTACACAAATAATCCCTGGAAAAGGTATTTTAAATATTTGATTAGGATGAAAAAATGCTGTAGGCTTTTGCTGTCTTTTGTATGTTGCTGATTGAGTTGTTGTATTGAGTGAGGGTCTTTTTTGTTTTTAGTAATAACATTAGTAAAATCTTAGTGTTTATTGTCCGAAGACTGGAACAGCCTGTGTACTTAATACTATTTTATTACCTTTGACCTTTACTAAGAAGTAGCAAAACTTGTTGTTTAATGATGAGCTGTGTTTGTGTACTGTTGTTTATCTGCATAGCATACCCAATTTCTTTAAAAAGTCTTACTGGATGCTGGATGTTCTCATTACGCGTGAGCTCACTACTGGTTCTTTTCCTTCAGCTCTCTATGATGTTGGTGATATTGTTCACTCCGTAAGGACAAAATGGGGAATAAAGGCAAATTGTCCCTGTGCAAATAAGCAGTTCAAGGCACTATCAAAGCCAACTCTAAAGGAGGATTCAAAACAGGTATTGCTACTGTCTCACATTGTCTATGTAGTATAGGTTTGCCTCAGTCTACTATACCATATTTGAAGCCAATGGTAATTGACTTTGTAGGTTTGCCAATCCTGACTGCTACTGATAACCCCACCATGTAGGGCTTTGTTCAAAATGAGAGAATCCTTAAGAGAAGAGTCTTAAGGACAGATTGGTGGGAATGGTTGTAAAGTGTAGGCTATCCCTCCTGTCCTGGAGATGTAATACATGCAGCACCTAAAAGAATAAGTAGGGTGGGAGAGCACTGAAACTCATTAAAGAACTAAACATTAATAATATTGTGAGGGCTAGAGCAGCACTGAGAAGCACTGATTTCTCTGGGAATCCTGGTAGAAAGTTTGCTGCTTATTATATTTAAAAAACTCAACCCCACCATATGTTTATTTGTAAACAGATGTCGTATTTTTTTTTGCTTTTGAAAACAGCACAAATTAATGGCTTGGTTTTGCAGCATCGTGCAAGAAAACAGCTGAATTAAATAATTTTAGTTTTGTTGTATGCTTATTTGTAAACTTATTTTGAGATTAAACGTGCTATCTTAAGTGCAAGAAGCAGACTGAACTTGATGTTGGTAATCAATTGAAGAGATTAAAAATGTTGTGAAGTGTTTAAATCGAGAAGGGTGGTTACATGAGTCAAAAGTTAGCCTACAACTGACCTAATTTCAGTCTTCTATTTCTTAAGATTTCCTGTCACCCCAGGCAAACAGCTGCATGGAAATTTGTTGATACCTCTCTTTCTGTGAAACTAGGTTCTGCACTGGTTGTGTGAGGATAAGCTTATTAAAGTTTGCAGCATTTTATATTAAGTCATGTTTAGAATCCTTACCAAGCATCAGCAGTCATTAAGAGATCAAATAAAGAATGTAGCAACAGACACAGGTGCAGAATAATTTCTTGACTGGAAAGTATTTGAGCAGAGAGAAGGAATTTAAGCAGTCATGCAGGAGTCCCAGGCCAAAGTGGTATTTCTGGTTAGTCTGTTACCTAGAATCTCCCAACAAGTGGATGAATCAGCTGCACAGGAGTTGTACACTGGTCCTGTGCCTGGATTGTGCTGGCCAGGCTGGTGCTGCACTCCTATGCAGGTGTATTTTAGACCTGACAGGTGAGTAGACTTCTGCTCCCTTCCTAAGGTAGAAATTTAGGAGCACTATGTATTTGTTTTAGTCTGCTGACCTGGACCTTCAGGTTAGCCCTGGTCTGAATATTTGCTATCATGACAATTGTGAGAGCAGTGCTATTAAAACTGCATTGGGTTCCCAAAGCAGTCACAGACAAATGCATCTGGGCAACTCAGCTCTCTGTGCTTATCTGGAGGGGTGATGGGCTCTGTTGCTTGCTCTTTAAGTAAGGAGATCGGATTGTTGTCTCTGGCTGCTACTGAGCTGCAATGGTGACCTCTTGTGGAGATCAGATGTATTTTGAAGAGCCAAACTTATTTAAGGGATTAATTTGGACTTGTCATTGCTTGTTTCCCCTTTCAGAGTAAAATCTGTTTGTGTCTAATCAAGTTCTCACTTTTTTTTTTTTTTCAGAACTTGGTACCTGGCGAGAGGACCGGCCTTCAACAGAACAGTTTTGTCCTGAGCCCACAAGTCACTACACACGATCCTCCTCTAAAATCAGCGATTGGAAGTAAACAAACTGCCTCAGTAAACACTTCTCCTTCACTAAGCTGGTTATCAAACCTAACAAGTGGAAATGTGAATAAAGAAAACAAAGGTATGTGCAGAACCAGGGAAGAGTAAACCCTTTGTGGCTGTTTGTCAGAAGAATATAGATCAGGCCCACAATAGCCTGTGTTGAGAATAATACAGTCTGCTTGCATTGCAAACCTGGTCCATGGCAATGACTTGGAGTAAAGCCTGGCAGGGTTAGCATATTCTTTTCTGAAAACTGGATTATTGTCACATTGATGCAAGTATTCTTGAAAATTCCATTTGAGAAGGTATTTATTTTAGAATATGCAATTTTAAAAACTTCAGTGCGTTGAAGAAAGTTAAGTGAAAGGAGTATTTAATCTGCATGTATTGATAGGAGATTTTTATTTATGTATATATTTTTTATATATACGTATATAAATAAATATATTAAAA